TACAACAAACTGCTACATATTTAAATGCCACTTCCTTATGTGGCTTTATAAATGGCGCCTTAGAAGAAGGCAAAGTATCCAAATGTAGTCCATAAAAGGTCCATCAAAAGATACATTAAACTGTTTTCACAACACTACTCCTTGTAATGAGCTCAACTAATCCTTATGAGTAAAATCACTGCTGTGCACCTTCAGCCTGGTCAGTGTAATGTAGAATAATGGTTACAAAATTAGACCCAAGTTGTAATAAATCTGAAATATCCATTAAGTGCACACAGGATGTTTATGAACTGTAGCAATATATGGGAGAAAGCAGGACATGAGACAGCACCCAAAATGTGCTGTTATGTCTGTGAGAATATGCAAATGTGTGTGTGTGTGTGCGTGCGTGTGTGTCTGCTTGCATACTCACTCTTGGCCTTGTCACTCTTGCGTGACGGCTTCCAGCGGATGCAGGAACGGTGCTCATCCAGGTAGAAGAGTCTCACCAGCCCTTTGGATCCTGCTTTCAGCTTTACCATTTGTGTTCCAGACTGCATCACACTCATACATCGCTCCACTGCAGATTAAAACACACACACAAACACAAACACTGGGGTCAGTTGAGCACACAAAGGGACGGATGTCTGACTCTGTTTATCTTTTCTCAGGAAGAAGTGTGACAGTGTCATACGATTAGCGGAAGAGGCGGCAGCTGATGTGGGTCAGAGCCCAAACTGTAATAGAGATGCTACTGTGTGAACACACAGGGCTGCTTTTCTCTTACCCACTGACCTGATCCTGAAAGCAACTCAGAGAAGGAAGACTGAGAAAACCTCATGGACAGAGACAGAGCTAATGTGTGTCTCTCTCTTCTAGATTTCAGGGCCTGTCAGGTCTGAAGGAAGAAAGTTTTGGTTTTATGAGCTTGAACTTTCAAATATCATTCTCTGAGATGTTTGCTTTTACCTTCATGTAATTTCATTAAAAACATCCATCCATTATCTATACCGCTTAATCCTGAACAGGATCACTGTGGGCTGGGGTCTATCTCTGCTGACAATGGACAAGAACACGCACTCCACACAGAAAGGCCCCGGGCTCAAACCAAGAACCTTCTTGCTGTGAGGTGACAGCACTAACCACTGTGCCACCCACATTTAAACAGTCAAAAGCAAAACATCTTTCCAGAAACAGTGTCACTGCTTCTCCATGTTATCCAGAGACTTCATTATGCTAGTTCACGTTAGGGTTGCCAACCCTCAGGGATGCCCTGGGAGACTCCCAGAATTGATTTAGCCCTTATGAAAAAATCTAAATCTAATCCGGGGGATTTTTTTTTTTTTTTTTTTTTAATATTGACATCACACATGGAGGTAAAATGCCAGGAAAAATTCAGATAAAAGGCAACTCCGGGGCACTAAAAATAGAAAGTGAAATTGCACAATTTAATTGCATTTACATAAATTTAGGCTACTTATACTAAAAAATACAGTAGGGATTTGGCATCTAATGAGGTCTTCACCTGAAAATTCGCTGTTGGCAAATGGCATTTTTCCTGAGGATCATATAAGTAAGTACTTTGTGGTGGCTGCTCAGAGCCAAGTCTTCAAGTCTGTATAACGACAGACTGCATCTTGCAGTTGGTAAGTTGTACTCATGTGTAATAAAACTACTTCATTGCTTCTTCCAAAATCACCTCACCTCACCTTGTACAGCATTTAAGCTTAAGAAAGGATGGTTTGCACTAGCATTGCAAAAACATAATTTTTCTGAAATTATTAAATGTCATGCAGTTTTATGGCTCACTCACCTACATGATTGCAAACCAGTACCTAACATTTTGACACTGAGTGTAGGCTGATAACTGTTCACTGTCTCCCCCTGCGATGTATTGCTGTGCTACAGTATGGGTCTACAGTGTGCATGTGGGTCACATATTCAGAAGAGAAACCTTAGTTTCTGGCAGTCTCTGTAGGTGACGGTTTAAAACACTTGAAAAAGATGCTTGAAATAAACAGAAGAATGGGGGGAAAGGGAGTGTACTGACTGGGCGTTCTGAGGAGGAGACGAGAAGGACTGAAATCATGCTGAACAGTGGCTTTGTGTTTGATTGCTCGACTGCCTGGAACTGCCCAGCATCGAGACAGGATAAAAGACAGAACTTCAAACTTCTTACTTTTGGTGACAGCTGGTGGCAGGGACGCGGACGGGAATGACAGCAGAGAGACAGCGAGATTTCCCTCCTCATTAGTGGAATGTGTGCATGCATGCTTGTGTGTTTCAGTGTGTATGTGTGCATGTAGCACATGTTTTTATGTACATATATGTTATTTATATACATGCAGTATGTCTACTGTACGTTTACATACATCATGGCCTGCATTTGGCAGCCAGCCAGAACTACCCATGTACAAACTTGTATTAGGCACACGACATTAATATCACACATAGCCACGTCTTTATTATCCATGATTTCTCCAAGTCACAGAGGAGAAGAGGTACATCGGCTATTCATAATTAAGACACACGTGGAGTAAGAACCTATGTATAATGTATTATAACTACAGTAACACCTAAAAGTGGCTCAATAAAGCTAGCACCTTTACAACTGAAGCCGTTTAGACGTGCGGGGCTCTCTTAAGGATCATTCAGTTGGTCAAATGATTGTGGATGCAGATACTGCAGCCAAGTCCACCAGGCCAAAGGACAAACTCTCCTAGTACAAAATCAATGTCTAAGAGGCACACAAACAGCCCTCTCACTGGTGTCGAATAACAATAATCTGTACTGAAAGACGACAAAATATACCTGCACTGCTTGTTTGCTGAATTTCCCTCAGGATCTATAAAGTGTCTATCTATCTATCTATGAAGACACAACAAATAATATTTCTTTATAACCTCTATATGCGTAAAACAACCTGTGATGAGCTGATTCTTAATAAACTTGTGAGGACAATATTGACAATGTTAAAGAGTAATCACATATTTCCTATTGGAATGACATGTCACTGTTATATTAAAGCATTACCTGAACAATCGAATTAAAACAGAACTGGTCACATTTAAAGCCACAGAGACTGAGGTATCTGGAGCTCCACGGGAGCTGGATCCTGCACCTCACACGATGCATCTTAATTGTGTCTCTTTATCAGGCTGTCCCTGTCTGGTACGTGCCCACATGCTTCAAAGTCTGCAGTCCCAGTTTGTAAAGTCGACTGGCTATTATAAATTCAGTCTCTAAGAACAAAATAACCTTGGTAACATCATCGGGGTTATTTTCTCAAACTATAAAAAGTTTCCAGCAGGACTTCAGAAGACATTACACAACTGGTTTCCTCATTTCACAGGCTGAGGAGGGCTCCCCGTGACTAGCAAACTGATCACTGTATAAATATTACACATAGCATAAACTGTATAAATAAACTGTATATTACTGCTTGCAGCTAAGGGAGCTTTAAGAAAGCTGTTGTGACAACTCAGCGTATTAATTCAACTGCAGAAGTGAGGTGAACACCACAAGGAATTCCACACCTCTCTGAATAATTAAACAGTAAGAAAGGCAGCATTGAAGAGGCCATTAACGGCAAAGCATTCACTTATCTCAACCAGTCAGGACACTGTCCTACAATATTGGAACCAGTGCTGTAGTCGAGTCACCTAACCTTGAGTCTGAGTCAAGTCTCAAGTACCCACTGTTCAAGTCTGAGTCAAGTCCAAGTCGAGTTTAAGTTGAGTCCCCGCTAGCCCAGACAGTGTCATCGAGGTGTACATTAAACACAGCTCTCACCATTTTATATTCCAAACTAACAGTGTACTGCAGCACCAGACTGTTCAGCACATAAAAATCATTTATAGAAAGGCAGAGTGTACGGCTTGATGGAAGTATGACGGCTATAGAAGAAGAAGAAGCTTTATTTTATTGTCATTGTAACATTGTGGCACGTACAACAAAATTTTGTTTGGAGCTGAGGGCCCCGAGCTGCTGCATGCATACGTGCCGCCATCATGGGCAACTTGGGGGTTCAGTGTCTTGCCCAAGGACACTTCAACATGTGGACTGCAGGTACCGAGATTCAAACCTTGAACCTTCAACAACTGCTCTACCCACCGCACCACTGCTGCCCCACAATATAACATGGTGTGGGTGGCAAAATTATCAAAGAAAAGGTCTTCGCCTCCAACTTTCAAGTCCAAATGCAGTCAGTGTTTGAGTCATAGTCAAGGCGCAAGTCATCAGTGTTCAAGTCCAAGTCGAGTCATGGATGCCAAAAATCTGGACTCAAGTCAGACTCAAGTGTGAGTCCTGGACTTGAGTACTACAATACTGATTAGAACCAAACATAATTAATATACTGAAAAGTAACTTTGTGGTTTGTAACATTATGTGGTTTATTTGTGTACACTGGATGTACATACTGTATTCTGCAACTATATGTGAACATTTTTTAGCCCTATAATGACAAATTATTTTCTGAATAAAATCTAAACCATGTTAGAGAAGACCAGGAGGTGTTGGAACATAATGACTCACAGTCTTCAGGGGTTGCAAATATAATCTCTAACAGCCCTTTAGCCCCTTGGAAAAATGAATAAATACAAAAGGTTCCAAAGCTGCAGAACTTTGATAATGTTTCTGTCTTTATAAGGACAGAACGGGTGATTATCTTCAAAGACAATGAAAGTCAAACCTCTCTTGGATCCAAAACACATATTTAAGCACATACTTAACACAACACACACTGAGCAGAGTACTTGTTAACAGGCTTTCTATCCTGAGGATAGGCTTAGCAGTGGTACAGATGTTGCTCTTGATATTCCTTGACTTGTAGATGCTCACGCCAGGGACAGTATTACATACACACACACACACACACACACACACACACACACACACACAAGCATTAGCACATGAACCAAAGCCCTGTGTATTATCTCCCATGGTGAATGACAGACACACTAACAGCCACACAACCTGGGATGTTGATAAATCAAAATGTGTGATATCAGTATGTGGGAAGAGAAAGAAGCAGCCATGGAAATAAACCAGTAGACCTGGGTTCTAGTTTCTATGAGATCTTCCATCTAACTTTGCTATATGCTTACCAAAAACAAGTCTCCACCCGGACATCCAGAGACAGGGGAGCAACAGTCAAGATAAACCACAAGTCACTAGAGCAGTGTGCAAATATGTAGAACTGGAGTCCAGATAACTGCTATTTCTTGCAGTTTCCAGAAATTAGTGAAGCAGTGAGTGATATATACTGTAATACTAGTAAGATTAGGATTTGTCTGAGTTTAATGGACCACAAAGGTCACCTTCTCTGTTTGATAAAGTTCATACAGTAGGATTACTGATATGAACCTCTGACATGAAGTGGTACATAAAGCCATCGTGTGTGCATAAAGCAAAGCAGTTTTAACTAAAAATGAACTCAGGTCTTATTTCTGAACCACATTTAAGCAAATGTGTGTCTTGGTATTTTATTTTAAAGCGGAATTGATTCATCTTTTGTCACATCATGGCAGCAGAACAAAATATGGAAACAACACTGACATATGATCATGTTTTAAAACT